TATGAAGTGTCTTTACCCATCTCTTTTGATTAAATTTGGTTGAAAGTCTATTTTATCTGATATTAGAATGGCTACTCCTGCTTGTTTCTTGGGTCCATTGGCTTGGAAACCGTCTTCCAGCCCTTTACCCTCAAGTAATGTCTATCTTTGTGAGTTAGGTGTGTTTCTTGTATGTAACAGATTTTGGGGTCTTGTTTATGTATCCATTCTGTTAATCTGTGTCTTTTTATTGGAGAATTGAGTCCATTGATGTTGAGAGAGATTAATGACCAGCGGTTTTAGAGCCTTTGATTTTGATATTGGCTATGGTAGTAAGTTTGTGTGCTTTGTTACTTTTTGTTTTGCTGTAGTGAGGTTAAATATTTCCTGTGTTTTCCTGAAAGTAGTCTTCTTGGGTTGTATTTTCCCTTCTAGTGTCTTCTGTAACACTGGATTTGTGTGTAGGTATTGTTGAAATTTGTTTTTGTCATTGAATATCTTGTTTTCTCCATCTATGAGGACTGAGAGTTTTACTGGGTATAGTAGCCTGGGCTGACATCTGTGTTCTCGTAGGGTCTGCATGATATCCGTCCAGGCCTTTCTGGCTTTCATAGTCTCTGTTGAGAAGTCAGGTGTGATTCTGATGGGTTTGCCATTATGTGTTACTTAGCCTTTTTCCCTTGCAGCTTTTAGTATTTTTTCTTTGTTCTGTATATTTACTGTTCTGATTATTATGTGGTGTAAGGATTTTCTTTTCTGGTCTGATTTATTGGGTGTTCTGCACTTGCTTCCTATATTTACCTCTGAATTCTAAAAAAAAAAAAAAAAAAAGACCATATGATTTCCAATCTCCTAAGCATAACTAAGAGAAAGAAGAGCCTGTAGGGTATGCCCTAAAGATTTCATTTCTTAGGCCACCTATCCCTGCATTACAAGGAAAGCATATAAATGCCTCTTTGAGCTCCTCATTATTTTCCAATGTGACTCCATCACATTGCGATGATATTATTCGTACAAATTAACAAAGATAAAGAAGACTGGTCCAGTAGTTATAAAAATTTTAACATGAGAATGATAGAGGACTTTCTCCTTTACAACATCTTTGTTACCTAATGATACATTTTTTTCTACTTCGATTTATATCTGGGATATATATATATATATATATATATACATATATATATATACATATACATATATATGAATAAATATTATCATATAATTATATTGGACCTGCAAATATTTGTAATAAAAAAATTCTTTCCTTGGCTTTAAAGTTGATGATAACCTTAGTTATACATTTACTCACTGATTTGTTTTTTCGTGTAGCAACTGTTTCTATAAGCCTATTGTATATGAGCCATTGTTCTGTGCTTTCTTCATTACCATATGCCTAAGATAGGGCATTAAAGTTTACAGAATGAATGTTTCTCTTGTGGCAGGCTGTGGTAAGATACTGACTTCTGACTCCAACCTGAACCTTGACTAGGAATTTCCTAGAGAGCTAAGTAAAAGAGATAGTATTCATTTCATCTCATGTCTGTGTACGTGTGCCTGAGTGAATATATGTGTACTACGTGTGTGAAGGTGCCTGTAGATGTTAGAAGATGGTATAAGATCACACTGAACTTGAGTTACAGGGTTTGTGAACTCCCCAATGCAGATTCTGGAAACTAAACTTGGAGCCTCTCCATGACCAGTAAAAGGGTCTCAACTTCTGAAACATCTCTCCAGAGCAGAAGACGGTATTTTTATTTGATGTCCTAACAGTAAATTTTAACTTCTACTCACACTAGAATGTCTGAGCTTCTGAGTTAGACAACCTAGAATTTAAGTTAGCTGACCTATAATTTAAATAAAAATATGAAGAAACAAAGGTATCATTTTCTATTTCTATGTACTACTCATGTGGGAAGGCTGTTTTTCAATGTCCTGAAGGTTTCAGCATACCAGGGAATAGGATTGATGACTTTAATTCACAGTGACTTGGGAGGAAGCCACTCTCAGGTTCAAGAGTGAAAAGAATTGTCTGCATTCAATTCTGCACATGCTGGGTGAGCCACAGGGACAGGAAGTCAGTAATAGCAGAGATGGATCTATTGCTACATTAGACACTGGTATTTAATCACTGTCCCTGAGATGCAGGCTAAAGCATTTTCCACTTCGTGGTGGAAGAAGAATGGAAAATACTAAAGCTATCTTGCAATCAGCATATCATCCAAAGTAGAAGTTTTATTAAAGCTATGAATCTCAGTCAAGGTGAGCCACCTGTGAGATACCTCACCACAGCGACTCCAGGTGAATGCTGCCTGGTCTCCTTTTGAATCTGCTGCAATCAGAGGTGACAAAGGACCAAAGAGAAAAACAAACGTACAAAGCAACTCAGCCTACAGAGAAGAGAAATAGCCAGAAACAGGACCCTTAGAAGTCATTAGTGACACTACATTGTCACTTAAAGCTATGTATAAACTCAAGTATCTATGTGTGAGTATGAAATATGTGATTGTGTGTGTGTGTTTGTGTGTGTGTGTGCATGCATATGCATGAGTTATACATAAAATGCAAGAGTGGGCTCTAAGTTTCCATTTATCTCCTCATCCTGTGGTTTGAAGCAGTATTTTTAATGAGATCAGGAATTATATTTTAATATGTAGATAATTTCCAAATGCATGGAAACTATTACCCCATCCAAATACCAATTTTCACAAAAATACTTAAGGCATGTACTTAAAGAAAACAAAACAAGAAAAATCGCAAAATAGTTCAACTGTGGTAACTCATTAAATTCAAATAATGCCAGATTGGGTCTACTCAGAACGTAATAAGATCAAAAACTCAAGTGACAACACATGCTGGAGAGGATTTGGAGAAAGGGGAACCCTCCTCCATTGATGGTGGGAATGTAAACTTATACAACCACTTTGAAAATCAATCTGATGCTTTTTCAGAATATTAGGAATAGTGCTACCTCAAGATCCAGCTATACCACTCCTGGGCATATATCTGAAAGATGCTTAACCATACAACAAGAACATTTGCTCCACTATGTTCATAGCATTTTTATTCATGATAACCAGAATCTGGAAACAACTCAGATATCCCACAACTGAGGAATGGATACAGAAATTGTGGTACATTTACACAATGGAACTACTCAGCAATTAAAGAGAAGGAAATCATGAAATTTGCAAGCAAATGATGAGATCTAGAAAAGCTCATTCTGAGTGAGGCAACCCAGAAGCAGAAAGACACACATGGTATATACTCACTTATAAGTGGATATTAGACATATAATATACGATAAACATATTAAAATCTATAGTCCTTAAGAAGCTAAAAAGCAAAAAGGACCCTATTGAAGATGCTTAATCCTCATTCAGAAGTACCAACAGTACAGACATCAGAAGCAGGAAAAGACAGAGAACAGGAGAGGAGCCCACCACAGAAGGCCTCTGAAAGAATCTACCCAGAAAGGTTGAAGCAGATACTGAGATTCATAGCCAAACTTTGGGCAGAGTGCAGGGAATCTTATGGAAGAAGAGTGAGATAGAAAGACCTGGAGGGAGGGGACAGGAGCCCCACAAGGAGACCAACAAAGCCAAAAAATCTGGGCCCAAGGGGCCCTGCAGAGACTGATGCTCTAGCCAAGGACCATGCATGGAGAGGACCTAGACCCCTGCTCAGATGTAGAATACAGGCAGCTCAGTCTCCATGTGGGTCAGAGCAGGAGCTGTCTCTGACATAGACTTAGTGGTTGGCTCTTTGATCACTTCCCCCTGAGTGGGCAGCCTTGCCAGGCCACAGAAGAAGAGGATGAGCTAGTCCTGTTGAGACCTGATAGGCTAGGGTCAGATAGTAGGGGAGGAGGAGCTCCCCTATCAGTGGACTAGGGGAGGGGCGTGGGTAGAAGAGGAAGAGAGAGGGAGAGTGGGAAAAGGAGGAGATGAGGGAGGGAACTACAGCTGGGATACAAAGTGAATAAATTGTAATAAATAATTACTCAATAAAAAAAAGAAAAGAAAAAAGAAAGTTGAAGAGGAAACTAGAGGTTTGGCACTGGGGACAGAAGGCACCCGACATCCTCCGGGATCCTTTCTCCGCTTCCCTTTCCATCTGCACTCTCATTACACACTTTCTGCCCTTCTCTTTACTCCCTTGCTTTATCGGAATGCATGGACTGCAGAGCTTCAGATTTCTGATGCTCCAATCATAACGCACCTAGAGTAATAATGTCAGCCATGGACAGAGAAAAAAAGTGATACAGAAAATAAGGTGGAGAAAAATGTTGGGGAAGAGATATTGATGGAGACACATGTAGTATACCTGGGTCACTCCCAGGGCAAGGCTCAGGGAACCTTAGACATTGGGTGCTCCTCTCTCTTATTCCTAATCTGTAAATTCTCTCAGAAAGCAAAAATCTCTGAAAAACACTCACTGACAAGAACTGCTTACTGTTTATATATGATTATTCTGTATCACAATAACCATATGGATTATTAAAAAAACTTAAGGCTCCCTTTGTTTTGTCAGCTCCTGTGGAATATCTATTTAAAACTTCTGGAGCTTACACTCTCCGAGAACATGTTATTCTGAGACATCTGACCTCCGCAGCAATTTCCTTGGCTTTAGTCGAAATTATGATGGTGCAATATTCTAGAAAATTGCCTATTCAGAAAACAGAAGAACCCATGTTCTCTCATCTCTCACTCTTAATCAACTGAAAATAAAGGGCTATATTAAGAACTGTGGTCGTTGCTAACCAGCTGCTTTATCCTGGATGGTGACTTCATGCCTCCAGGCCTGGCCATCCTCCTCTGTAAGAGATCTGCTAGAATAAAAAGTCCATTTGTCTTGGGGTAAATGAAAGATGAGCTTCTTAGGAGGGTATTCCAAATTGTTAATAATGTAGAAGGGTTTGTAAGAGGCCTACATTCTGGAACTTTTAACTCAGGCCCCTGTTTCTAAAATAAATGTGTTACCGTAAATAGCTCAATACAGGTGTGGTTTTTTTTTCATTACAGAGAACTAGGATTTGAAAGCCCCTGGAAGCACTTGGGAAGTCTGCAAATGCCACAACCAACTGCTATTCCAAAGAAAACAAAATAGATGGTTCTGCAAAGCTCATGCTGTTTCTTCATTGCGTTTTAGGTGAGTGCTTGCGACAACAATGTCAGGACCAGCATGTTTTAATCTCTCAAAGTGTGCTTTTCCTCTTTGCATAAAAACGGGCTTAAAGAGTATCAGCATCTTTCATTCAGCTCTGTCCTTTCACTGAATTCCCATTAAAGACTATTTCTTTGCTTCTGCTTTCTTCCTGTTAACAGAAACTATCTGAACTGGATTTAGGTGAGAAATGACTTATAATGGAGAAAAACCCGCAATTATAAACAATTTAAACAATATAAATAGTTCCAGTCTATTTGAATAGAATAGAGCTCCTATTCTAGAAATTACCTATTTTTTTCTTCTTTTTCTTTTTTTACTTTTGTTATTATTATCAGGATGAGGTAGCAGACATCCAGGTTATAGTGACAGATAGCTAAAGAAAGTGGGGGTGGTTACGTTGGCATACTAGCATGTCAATGTGGGAGCTAAGTAATTTTAGAAGCTTCCTGTTGGGGGATTTTAAATTGTCTAAATTAGAAGTGGAGAGCAATTAAGGTCAGGTAAACTAAATCTTGCAGTGCTTTATACAATAAAACAGAGAGAGAGAAAAACTGAGAAAGGTTTGTTTTGTCTAGATATGAAATAAAATAAAATAAAAAAATAAAACAAATCAATGTTGGATTATCAAATGTAATGACCCTTCAGTGCTACAAAAGGCAATGATAGCAACTTAGTTATATAGAGTTTTCCTGAAATCTGCTGTTGTTAGTCTTCGGCAGGACAGAGGAGGATCAGAAAGTTGAGTGGGGCTCATGTTGTGAATTCCTACTTCAGCCTAAAACCAGCTTTCAAAGTAGTAGTGTTTGCTTTATTATCTACTTTTAGAAGTGGCCATGTCCAGGACATCAGAACAGAATCATGTCTAGCTCTTAACTAAGCAATGCGACTGAGAGGGTACCTATCATTGTCTAAGTCTAATCCAATAGGTGTCCGTGCTTCCTTCCCACGTTAAAACTTATGCAAGTGAAAACTGTTCAATCATTTTAAAAACAGTGAAAATACAGTATAAGTCAAAGTGACATTATGGCATGTCTAAAAACAGCTTTGATTAAAAATCAGATTTAGAGTCTTCATCCACTTTAAGTAAATGAGAGAAAAGATCAAAATCATGTGTATTACAAAAAGACTGCTTCCAGCCACCAAGATACCCTTTGTTACTTTGATTAACTTCAAAATGAAAACAAAAGATTCTCCCGTATTCTTAACTGTGTATGAATTTTCTTTACTGAGATTAGATTTAGAGCTAACCTCGTGATTTCCTTTATTTTCAAGAGATTTGTTTGCTGTAATTCCCAAGAGCTAAACTGAGTACATTTCAAAAATCAATTTGCCTCATGTAGCCCTTATTCTAGAAAAGAAAATCAAAATGAGAAATATGTCTCTGAGCTCTTTATTCTGCAGTTGTGTCTGTCTGTATCCATCTTTATCTTCAGGGCCATTACTGGTTTTGTCTGGTGCTATCTACAATGGGGACTGTCACCTGTTGGGCTATAATTTATTCCAGTTATCGACACCAGTTTCCCCTCGTGACTTTTAATCCTGACATCCAGTGACACCACCTCTTCCTTTGTCCTTAAGAACTGTGAATGTCAGTGTCTATAGCTTCCTACTGCTACTGTACCATGAGGTTGCTTCGCAATCCCCAGTTGTGGTGGTTTGAATGAAAACGGCTCCATAAGCTTGTATGTTTGAATGTTTGAATCCCTAGTCGATGAGGCTGGTTGGGAAGGATTAAGAAGTGTGGCCTTGTTGGAGGAAATGTGTCACTGTCTCTTGAGGTGGGTCTGAAGTTTTCAAACATCCATACCATCCCAGTTGCTCTCTTGGCCTCTTGGTTGTTGTCTCAAAAAGTAAGCTATCGCTCCAGCAAAATGTCTTCCTGCCTGCTGCCATGCTTCCCAGCATGATGATCATAGATTCTAAGCTTCTAGAGCCATCCATGAAATCCACATTAAATACTTTGCCTCGGTCATGGTATCTCTGCACACCAACAGAAGAGTAACCAAGACGCCAGCGTAGCTCCCAGGTCTCCCATCCATTGTGTCACTATTTCACTAGATTAAATTCTCTTTTAAATACTTTTTCTCTTTTTAGACTAAGTTATAACTAATCCATCAATGTTTTATTATTTTTTATAAATGTAAAAGCAATGAATTTCTTCTCCCCCATCCCACCCCTCAAGAAAACAAATGATTCCCAGGAAACCAAATTTAAGGCTATAGTTAGGGTTTTTCCCCCCCCTTGACTTACACATGCTTTATACTAAGGCTTTGAGATATATTACAGACACAAAATGGCACCAATAACATGAATCTCTATCAATATTCACAAGGTGCTTGTTATCAGTCAAATCAAGGAATAGAAGGTGACCAATATCTTGAGAAGAACAACCCTTCTAGTCAGTTCTCTCAGCAGAAACCAAATCATAGTTTGCATCACCACTGGCTGTTCTTGGGTGTTCATCAAGAGAATCACACATTGTGTCCTGTGGTTATGAATCATTCCTTTTAAAATGAGTATAATTGCTATTTTAGAGCCATTTCAGGTTTTTAACAAGCAGAGGAAGAAGGAATGAGCTTTTCCTATATCCTGCCTGCCCTGACACATCCAGGGCATCCTCAGGTAGCACCACTCACCACTGTGAGGTGTTTATTACCAACAATCGATCAATCTGCATTGACTCACTGCCACAATTCACTCTGTGCATTAGTGAGCATGATAGTTTTTGGACAGAAGCACGTGACGTATGTCCACATTGATGGATTAATTGGTTTCACTGCCCTAAAAATATTTCCTGCATACTAGATCCACTGGTATTTGTAGGAGACCCAGAGTTTTTGCAGGTCCTGGATTGTCATTGTGGAATCCTGGGATGTCCAGCCTTCTCAGATTGCCCTACTTCACTCAGTGATGGGCACTTACGTTTCTCCCTATCTTTTCATGCCCCGAAGGCCTGTTCAATTTCAGCATGAATAATACTTCACTGCTTGGTTGTACCACACTGTGTGCATCTATTCACAATTGCAGAAAACTAATATAAACATTTATGGTCAGGGTTTTGTGTGATGGCGGCATTTGGTTTCAGTTGGGTAAATACCAAGGAACAAGATGAATGGACTGCAGAAGCATATGTTTAGCATAGTACGAGATTGTGTATCGCTTTGCCTCTCTACCAGCCATCAACAAATAACCTGCTGCTTCCTTCTCTCAAGAGCATTTGTTAATGTCAGTGTATCGAATCTTGGTCATTCCAATGGCTGTGTGGCTTTGTTTTTAATTAGCAACTCTCTAGCAGAAGACAATATGGAGCATCCTTGCCCATGCCCCTTTACCACCTGTATGGCATCTTCCAAGATATGGCCACTTGGATCTCCAGCCCACTTTTGAATAGAGTTGTTTGTATTCTTATTATTCCGTTAAAAAATTCTATGTACATTTTGTATCTTTTACAGGTATCTTTTCTAAGCTGTGTTTTATCTTGTCTTAAAGAATGAGAAATAGGGACAATGAAAAAAAAAACAACTTAATATATCTAAAACTATATACCTAGCTATAGAATATTGCATAAATTTGTTGCTGTTAAAAGAACTATTGTTACCTTTCCCATTTCCATTCCAAACTAATGGAAAGATTGTTTTAAATCCTTAAGAATACTCTAAATCTTTATTCATTTAATGTTCAGCTATCATAAGCACTATTTGACATGAAAACACCTTTGTAGGGCATAGCTTCATCTAGAATTAAAGTTTCATGATTGTTTATTCATAGATTTCGCCTACAAGTTGAATCTGACTTCTCCATCTTCATAGTGGCTGTTTGCTGCCTTAAGATGTTTTTATTATCTGAACATTTAATAGTTCCTATATTAAATCTGAATATGTTGAAGATCTAAGTGGTCAGGAGGCCAGTGTCTGTCTTGCTTAAAAGGTAAAGCTTTTGTCCTGTCTCCACCACCCGAGCCTCTCTCACAGGCTCTTCTGGTATTAAAGTATCTGCTCACTTGATCATTTTGGTGCCTAGCTTCGTTTTGTTAAATAGAAGGACCTCGCTGTTCTCATTTCCTTCTCATTTATTTATGTAGACATTTTCTTTTCTGTCTTATCTTAGAGGCTATCACAACTGCTCATCTCTCCATTTTAATGTACTGTGGTTATCGTCAAAAGGACACACTGTCCTTTCTACCAATATTTTTCAACTATTCAACCAGTGTTAGTGTTGACTGTGAACTCTCTAATTTAGAATCCTTTCAGAGAACGTTATCATAGTCAAAACAGAAGTGCTTGGGCCCTCTCGTACTCTTGAAGCTGAAAGGCACAGAGCTGAGTAGTTTCTGTGGCTTAAAAGGCAGTAAATAACTGATATTCCCAAAACAAATATTTCCTTTAGTTTGGTAAAATACTGAAAATTCTAATCACAAGCATTTATATTTATATCCAGATTATAAAACTGAGACTTTACACAGTTAATTTTAAAAAATCAGCTGGGTATTAAAAAAACATGTTTACTAATAAAATATGCTACATAGTACATTAAGTCTAAAAAATTGGCCAGGTGAGCACAACTTGGGCAATGGTATAGACATTTGGCTTTGGAATGATTGGTACTCATATGTGACAGAAGGCTACAAAAATATCATTACTGACTTCATAAAGTTCCCTAGAGTGGGAAACACCCAACGTCAAAGCTCACCTGGGCCAACCAGATGGTAGTGAAGTCATTGGAAGAGAAGAACAGCGAGGATAAAGGTGCTGGCTCTTGGACTGAAGAACAAATTTTGATAGAGGTTTTTTGTTGTTTTTTTTTTTTAATCACTGTTTCCAAAAACAGTTCAGGAAAATGTTCTAAAAATGATAGAGTCAGTAGTATAATGAGGTTGAACCAAAAAGTCTTATCTTTATGCAGGTAGGTGGTATCTCAAAATAGAAATTATTCTTTATCTATCTTTGTAACCCTATAAGCTAGCATAGTATGTATGGCACACT